TGTTCCCACAGAGGTGCCTGGGCCAGAGAACACAAGTGGCCACTGTGTGTCTGCTCTCAAGTGTGTGGGCTGAGGCGTTAGTCACTGCTGGCCAGCCATCGAGGGCCAGGCCGGGGATCCCCTCACCCTTCGCTGGACCCCAGCCTTGCCTCAGCCGGTGGGAGAGATGGACGTCAGAAGCCGCAGACAGCCACTTGTTCTTTATGCGACTTCTTTCTTGTCAACTCCCACGTTTGCCCCATCTACTCAGACCACCCTTAGCTTTCCAAGACCCACCCACTCCCCAAGGTGGCCTCACATCAGAGCACAGAGAGAGCGTGGGCACAATTTCTTCACCCTCTTACTGTACAGAGGGGAAACGCCTAGCCCTGTTATGTACCTGCTGTGTGGCCTTGAGCAAGTGACTTTATCTCTCTGAGACTCAGTTTTCTTATGCATAAGATGGGGCTCTTAATAGAGGAGGAGTTGTTGTAAAAATTAATTGAGGGGATCAAAGGGTGTTCTAGTGCCTTCTCTCAGCTCTAGTGCCTTGGACCTAGTTTCATTTTCAGGCTCCTCTCAAGGACAGAATGGTCCAGGCTGGAGGCTAGAAGTAAAGGAGGACTTGCAGTGATCTCAGCTGTCTCAGCAGTTGTTCTGAGGTTGCACTTCATTGGCTGATTTGGTCACATGCCTATTCCTGAGCCAATCACAGTGGCCGGCAGTGTTCTGATTGGCCAGGATGAGTCACCCACCCACTAATAGATGTGGTGGTGGAATCAGCTCCATTGCCGCTTAGGGACTGGGAATGAGGGCAGGTTGGCTCTGCTGAAAAAAATTGGGGAAGAGTGAATTATGTTATGGAGGGCTATGATTCCTACGTGCACATTCTCCTTCTTAGGCAGAAACTGTTTGACTTGTTCATTAGAAAAGTGCCTCACTCTTTATTAGGGCTCAGTAAACAATGGTGGAATGGATGAATGAATAGGGCATGAGCTGCTTCCTGGCAGTACAGTATACTGAAGAGAATGCTAGACTGGGACTCGGGAGACCCCCATAGCCCACAATCCCAGTTGGGTCCTGATACCTCTCCAAGCCTCAGTCTGCTTATCTGGGAAATGGGCACAATGGCTAATGCCTGCCTTAATGGCTTGTGGGTGGATTAAATTCTGGTAGCCTGAGCACTCCTTCTGTGTGTGTTACTATTGGCTGTGGTTGCCGTTTATCTTTAGCAAAGGGAGATGGAGCAGGGAACCCTGGGCACTTGCCAAGAAGTCTTGGGAAGTGATTTGGAGCGCATACTCTGAGCTAGGCAGGCTTGCATTTGGATCCAGCCTTCACTGTCCACCCACCTCCCCCGTCCCTCATTATGTTGTGTGACCAGAGGCAAATCATCCAGTCTGTCTAAATCTTAGTTTCCTCATCTGTCAACTGGTACTGATAATAGTTGTCTTCGAGTGCTGGATTGAGGATGAAGTGAGAAATTCCATTTAAGGCGTGTCCTGGCACACAGCTAGTGCTTAGTCAGTGTAGCTGTTTTTATCATTAGCCATTATTACATGTTCTGTGGCCTCAAAGTGATGGATTGCCCTCTCAACCAGGCTTTTAAAGAATTTAATTTTGACCAAGTCACTTTATAGTCCACAGTTTCTATCAACCCCTCTCTGGCAGGCTCTGGTGTCTGTGAAATCTGAACGAGGTGCTGGGCAAGGGTGTTCCTCATGTTGACTCTGGCGCCCGGCTGGGGGCTGGCCCTGTGTTCAATGCTGCCTTTCAGGGTGGCAGGCAAGGCAGGTTTTGTGTGCTCCTGGAAAACTGTTCCTCCTGAGTCTCCTCCTCCTTAGAAAACATCATTTTCAGGAAACCCAGGAAACGGTGACATGCAGCCTTCACCTGCTCTCAGGAGTGAAAGTTGAATGATTAAAGGGGTGGTCTTTGCCCAGCTTAGTGTGGTCAAGTTGGTTGCCTTTGTCACCTGGCCCTAGCTCTGGCCACCCTCTAAGACCTCAACCTTCTTTTCTGTAAAGGAGCAGAGCTGGCCTCACTGCTCTTCTGGGTGTGGGAAGGAGGAGGAGTGTTGTACGGAAGTGAAAGGATTCTTTGCTGATCCTCTCGTGGGGACATAAAAAAAATCAGCTTTACAAGAAATGAAAAGGCAGGTACACAGTCAGTTAAGAGAGAGAGTGTGCGTGCGTGAGAGAGAGAGAGAACGCTCCACAGAAGCACCTGGTTGCTTAATTGATGGGTTTCTAAGGCAGGTTCTGAACACACTTTCGAAACTGAGTGTAGGGGCAGAGGACCCCACAGAGGTAGGGCCCAGTGAGCAGAGAAATTCTAGGACAAGGACTGGCTCTGGGGAATGGCCCCACATGAAATTTCCTTCCCTGAACTGGGCTCCTGAGCTGGATGCAGGAGGTTTCATACTGGCTTGGAAGGGACTTTGATGGGAGAGAAATGTGCACCGGCAGCATTCCAAATCCACTCTGCCACCTCACTCTTTGGGGGGCTCTGCCTTGGTCTCCTCGTCTGTACATGAGATAATAATAGCACTGATACCAGGAGATAAATGAGTTAACGCATATAAGAAGTGCAGAGCAGTGTCCCATGCAGAGTGTGCCCTTGGTCAATGTGAAACTGTTGTTGTTATCACTGCATGGGACCCTGGGGACTTTGCAGCTCAATTAATGAAATGTTTACCTAAACTGAGAATAAAAGTACAAAAAACAAATGAACATAAAAATTACCCGTTTGCATCACCCCCGAAGCACTTTCTTCCAGAAGGCTCCATGGCAGGGTTAGGGGCCCTCTCCCAGTTCCACACTCCATCGTAAGTACGTTGTCTCCTTACTCTCAGTAGAGAGTCTCTAGATCGGGTAGACCTCAGGCTGGCTGGGGAGACCAAAACTGTGTTGCTCACTGAGTCCAGCAAAACACATTTCCCCTGTGCTTTGCAGTAAATTGCTGTTCAAAGCCTCCAGATGAGCAGCTGGCTTTTAGGGGCCCTATTATAGGAAAGTGTGTCCTTTTTCAACACTAAAATCCCTTGCAGCACGGTGGGTGAGATGTTCACAGCAGCATCCCCTGAGGCTCGCAGGACCACCTAAGGCAGCTGCGGGTCCTGTCTCCCATTTCCTGGACACCAGCTCATGGTGTGAAATGGGGTGGGATTGCTTGCACCATTTATATGGTTGTTTCTCTCACTCTCTTTTTTGAATTGTGATTAAATATACATAACATCATATTTATCATTTTATGCATTGGTAAGTGTACAATTCGGTGGCATTAAATAAGTTCACAAGTTATTAATCATCACCACTATCTTTCTATACCCCACATTTTTCATCATCCCCAACAAAAACTCTGTACCCACTAACAATAACTCCCTAATGCTCCCCTCTTCCGGCCCCTGGTAACCTCTATTCTACTTTCTGTTTCTATGAATTTGACTCTTTTAGGGACCTCATATAAATGTAATCATACAACATTTGTCCTTTTGTGACTGGCTTATTTCACATAACATAATGTCGTCAAGGTCCACCCATGTCATAGCATGTGTCAGAATTTCCTTCCTTTTTGGGCCGGCCCCGTGGCGCACTCGGGAGGGTGCAGCACTGGGAGCACAGCATTGCTCCCACCGCGGGTTCGGATCCTATATAGGAATGGCCGGTGTGCTCACTGGCTGAGCATGGTGCGGGCAACACCACACCAAGGGTTGCGATCCCCTTACCGGTCACGAAAAAGACAAAAAAAAAAGAATTTCCTTCCTTTTTGGGCCGGCCCCGTGGCGCACTTGGGAGGGTGCAGCACTGGGAGCACAGCATTGCTCCCACCGCGGGTTCGGATCCTATATAGGAATGGCCGGTGTGCTCACTGGCTGAGCATGGTGCGGGCAACACCACACCAAGGGTTGCGATCCCCTTACCGGTCACGAAAAAGACAAAAAAAAAAGAATTTCCTTCCTTTTTATGGCTGAATAATATTCCATTGTATGTATATACCACACTTTATTTACCCATTCATCTGCTGGTGGGCACTTGGGTTGTTTCTGCCCCTTGTCTACTGTGAATAAAGCTGCTATGAACATTGGTGCACAAGTATCTGCAGTAGTCTCTGCTGTCATTTCTTTTGGGAATATACCTGTGAGTGGAATTGCTAGGTCACATGGTAGGTCTATGTTTAACCTTATGAGAAACTGCCAAAATGTTTTCTGTGGTGGCTGCACCATTTTACATTGTCAGCAGAAACACACTAGGGTTCTAATTTCTCCACATCCACGCCAACACTTATTTTTTGTTTTTTGATTATAGCCATCCTAGTTGGTGTGAAGTTTTCGCATTCTCTTTTCATCCAGTAAGAAACAGTTGTTTTGCCCAGGTGCCATGCATCTAAGGAAGGAATTCCGCTGTAATTGGTGGCCACTTACTTAAAACCCTTTTTCATTCTACTTCTCATGAATGTGAAATGATGCAAACAAATGCATGAAACATTCCTATTATACTTTTTAAGCAATACGGAGAGAGTGAAAGTGCCCTGTGAGTGCCCCCCCCATTTCAAGCCCCTCCCCAATCTGCTGTCAGGCAGTATCTTTCCTGAGTTCTCCATGCATTTACAGACACCTGTGAGCATGTAGGAAAGCGTGGTTTTCCACTTTTTTATATAGAAAGTATCGTGCTGCTTTTATTGTTCAGCAGACTTTTTGCTGAACAACTCAGTGATCTGTCTGTGTTCTATTTGCAGAGCTGCCCCGTGCTTGCATTTGTGTTTGTTCTGTAGGGTAGGTGTACTGTACTTATTACTATTCTACACAGAACACCGTTTCTCGTGTATGCCCCTTTGGGCCGACATGATATGCTGCACTGGCCCAAGTCAAGAACAATGTATGTTCCGGTTCGGCATTTCAGTCCCCATCTAGACATCCGGCCTCTGTTTTCACACTTGGGCAAGGCCCTCTGGGCTGGCCTCCAGGGGTCAGTTTCCTGCTGAGGGTGACTTGTTGACCTTTCTGTGTCTCCCCTTTGCAGGCCAAGAATAAGGAGACAGGTGACCTGGCCGCGGCCAAAGTCATTGAGACCAAGAGTGAGGAGGAGCTGGAGGACTACATCGTGGAGATTGAGATCCTGGCCACCTGTGATCACCCCTACATCGTGAAGCTGCTGGGAGCCTACTACCATGATGGGAAGCTGTGGGTAAGGGTGCTGCCTCCGCCTGCCCCCACATGGCCCCCACGGCCTGCTGCTCCCGAGCTAGCCTGGTCCTAGGTCTTCAGCTCTTTCTCAGCATCTGCTTTGAGGGCAAGGGCAAGGAGAAGGGGAAGTAGCGGGGTACAGGGTCCCCTGCCCTTCCCGCAGAAGGGAACTCTAAAGCTCTCCTAACTGGCCTCAAATCCCAGCACTGCTACCTATAATAAGCTGGTTAACCCCAGACAAGTTCTTAGCCTCTCCATGCCTTGGTTTCTCCATCCATACGATGGGGACAAATGGTACTTAGCTCATAGAGTTGTTATGGGGATTAAATCAGTTAATTTATGATGGGTGCCTAGAAGACTGCCGAGCACATGTAAGAGCTCAGTAAGTATTGGCTGTTTCCTGATTTGTAGTAGTAGCACCTCTTCTACCACTGTTGTGGCTGCTACATGGGGATGCCTTTTGATGGCTGCACTGAAGAAGGGGGACCTTTAACAGCCCCCCATTCTCCATCAGTATCTTCATGCTTTGATGTGCACAGCGCAGATGCAGCTTCACGGGGGGCCTTCCAAACTCAGCATCGCTCCTTAATATCTACAGAGGAATTCTGTAGGGCCCCTGGTTTGCACAGGACAAGCCTGCCTGCAGAATGTCTTCCCCATTGACGTTCTCTTAGTAATAATGCCTTTCGTTCATAAAACCCAAACTTCTTAGAACATAAACCTCTCCAAACTTTTTTTCAGCCCATGTTTTGTATGTAAAATGTTATATTTATGTCCCTAAAACTCAGTATGGCATTTGTAATAAAAGGGTGTGCAGGAAAAGTCTTGCTTGAGTTCTAGATGCAATTGGAAGATGATCAGAATCACATGGAGATGTTTAGAAAAGGAGATTGAGGGTCATCAGGGGGCATCTCAGATGTTGCTGGAGCTGAGAGCCCAGGGTCATATTACTGCACACAGTAACGGTTATTAACAGTGGCTAATAATTATTCGGTGATCGGGAAGGGATGTTTTAAGAATTGTCCATACTGTCATGGTAGTTTATATATAGAGACAGTTTTACTGTGTTTTAGTTATATTTTAAGAAATTGGTGGGGAGCTTGGAGTTGACATAAAACACTGTATAATTTTTCCCACTTGAAATAATCGGATATAGAGTTCTGGGTTTTTTTCTTTGAACAGAATGCCTGATTTTTAGGAACAGAATTACTGATGCTGAACAGAGAAATCTGTTTCCTTTGAGAAAAGAATCCTGCTGCTTGAGAAAATCAAAGGACAGTCTAGAAACCCCTGTTTATTCCTCTCGTTTCATAGACTAATAAAACTACAGCCCAGCAAAGGAAGCCCGTGGCTGTGGAGGTGGGAACTTGGCTCTTCTAGACCCACTTAGAGCTCTATCCACTAAAATTGGCTGCCCAGGATGCAGGCCAACTTTCTGTTCCTCTTTGAGTATCTCTTTGGGGAGCCTCTTAGGCAATATGGGGTCACCCCTTTCCAAAGGAGGGAATATAGGCACAGAGAGGACAGCACCCTCACTCATGGCCACACAGCTGAGGCTGAGGAAGCTGAGACTTTGTGTTTCCTCGGTCCTAATTCACAGAGCTGCTTTTCAAAAAGTTTTTTCTTTTAAGAAATTGGACAAATATATATATATGGCTGTAAAGAGAAGAATGTGAATACATGCAAAAGGAAAAGAAAAAAGATGAAAACCATCCAAAGTTTTACACCAGAGATAACCATTCATAACATTTGGAATATATTTTTCTAGACTTTTTCTGTATACGTGCACAGTTTTAGAAAAAGGCGAACTCCATACCTGTTACTTTACCATTTACTCTTTTAATTTAAGACATATTAAGAACATCTTTTCGGGCTGGCCCGGTGGCGCATCGCTTGGGAGCACGGAGGTGCTCACTGGCTGAGCGTGGTGCGGGCGCAACACCGAGGGTTGTGATCCTGTTGCCGGTCCCCGGTACGGGCGCGACACTGAGGGTTGCGATCCCGTTACCGGTCAGTAAAAAAAGACAAAAAGGAAAAAAAAAAAGAACATCTCTCATGTCAGTAGGAAACACTTGTATCTTCATGTTTTTATTCTACCAAAGAAGTTCATCTTCTGACTGTACCATTCTCTACTGCTGGGTGTTTAGGCTGCTTCCTTTTTTCTTTTTCTTTTTGATGTTATAAACAGCTCTGTGATGGACATCTTTGAATTTTTTGTTTTTGTCTGAGAACCTCTTTACTTGTCTTGTAAAGGCTTTAAATTGTCTGTTGCCAAACCGGCCTCATAGAGCCCCTTCTGGTATTAACCAAAGCAGCTCTCCATCCACCCACCCACCACTCCATCCATCCATTTGTCTGTCCCTCCATCCTCCTATCCATTTATACATTTGTTGGGCTGCAGATTATGTGCCCATTAAGAAAAATGCCCATTATTATTATTTTTTTTTCCTTTTTGTCTTTTTTCGTGTCCGGCAACGGATCGCAACCCTCAGTGTCGCGCCCGTACCGGACTGGGACTGGCAACGGGATCGCAACCCTCGGCGTTGCGCCCACACCTCGCTCAGCCAGTGAGCGGGAACCGGTCTGTATGTGGGATCCGAACCCTCGGCGGGAGCGCTGTCGCACTCCCAAGCTGCGCACTGTAGCAGTGCGCCACCGGGCCGGCCCCAATGCCCATGATTGATTGTGGCTGGGTACCAAGTTCATTACTTTCCCAGGTCCAAAGATAATACCACTAGTCACCAGCATTTATTGAGGGCTTGCTGTGTGCCAGGCCTTTTGCTGTGAGTTTTACTTGCATTATGTCATTTAATCTTCATTCTGTAAGGTTGTTGCTTTATCCCATTTTACAGAAGAAAATGAGAAACAAAGAAGTTAAAGTAAGTTGCCTCCCAGGCCAGGCAGCTAGAAAATGGCAGAGCTGGAAAACCAAATGGGAAAAAAGAACAATTCTTAACTGGATCGTGACTGTCATGCAGTTGTTTAAATAGATACACCAGAACTTTCTGTCCCAAAGTTGTCATTTTACTTTCTTATCCAGGGCTGCTGCTATGGCCAAAACCATTTCTCACCCTCCTCTTTTCTAGCCGCCCCTACAGCCTGCATTTGTTACTTTGTAGATTCTTAAAGGTGCTGTCTCCTTATTTTTGAGGACTGAATTATAGGCATTGTGAGATGAAGGCAGGTGGCACTAGAACTGGGTTAGATGAAGAGGGGAAAGGATGTCAGGTGGAAGGGACACATGGGCGATGGTTTGGAGGCATGAAAGCTTGGCATGTGTGGCTGGACTAGGCTAGACTAGGAATGTGGCAGCCCCTGGGGAAAGATCGGTCAGTAAAGTAATTGAAGGCCACATTGTGGAAGGCCTTCAACACCAAGGTGAAGAGTTTGCACTTGCTGTTTTAGATCAGTGGTTCTTAAAGTACAGCCCTGGGACCAGCAGCATTGGCGCCAGCTGGGACCTTGTTAGACATGTAGATTCTCAGACCCCACCCCAGACCTACTGGATCACAAACTCTGGGGTGAGGCCCAGTCATCTGTATGTTAAGGCACCTTCTCAGTGACTCTGATGCTCTTTTAAGAACCACTGTTTTAGGTAATGGGGACACAGTGGCAGTTTTCTGCAGGGGAGAAACACATATTCTGTGTTTTAGAAAGAAGTCAGGTTTAAGGGGTCAAGAGGGAAAGCATTGGGGCCGATCAGGAAGTGGTAAGTATAGACTAGGACAGAAGCCCAAGGATGTGATGTGGCACATCATCTGGTCAGGTAATGTTTCAGAGAAGGGACATTTGAACTGGATCTTGCAGGATGCACAGGGGTCCTTCAGAGGGATAAGAGAAGGAGGTGTAGTCTGAGTAGAAGGACCAGCTTGTGTGAAAGCCTGCAGGGGGGAGTCCCGTGGTTCTGAGATGCAGGGTTGAAGGGGGCACCAGTCTTTCTGTCTTTCCTTCTGTGTGATGTTTCTCAGGCTGGTCTGTGGCCATGCCCAGGCCTTCTGGATGACCTCAGGAGCCAGCTTTTTTATGCGGGTGTCTGACAAAATCAGTCCTGCACCTGGGGTCTGCTTCAGGGGCTTTGGGATGAGAAATTGGCTTTTGCCAGTGTCCCAAGCCACTTCTCCAGCCACAGCAGATAGGCACAGACTTTCCCCTTGGGTGGGGCGGAGGTCATTCACCAAACACGCCATGCGCAGTCTGACAAGGTGACCTCATTTTCTTCTAGAATTTGTAATCTTAGCAAAATCCTTCAAGGGGTTTCTTGTCCCACTTCTGCTTTTGAATATCATATGGTGTGAGTGGGCGAAAAAAAGCAACCCAAAGTGCTCTAGACAGCACTGTGTAATAGAAACACAGTGTGAGCCGTGTACATCACTTTAGATATCCAATAGTCACATCAAAAGGAGAAAAAGAAACAGATGAAAAGTTTAAGTAGTATAACTTACTTAACCTAGTACATAAATATATGATCATTTTGACATATAATCAATATAAGAATTAAAATGAGCTTTTTACTTTTTTAAAAATTCTAAGTCCTTCAAGCCAGTGTCTGTTTTACAATTACAGCACATCTCAATTCAGGAGCTGGATTTTCATTAGAAATCCTTGGCCTGTATTTAGATGTCATAAAATTTACAGTTGCAAAAGTGGATTCACAACCCCAAGTTGTTCCATTCTTAAACGTTTCTCAGTAACTGAATCTAATGTCAGTTTTAACATTTAAGTTAATTAGAGGTGAATAAAATGATACATTTAGTTCCACACTAGCCACATTCAATTGCTCAATAGCCATGTGTGTGGTTAGTGGCTACTGCATTCGACAGTGTAGACAACTCAGCTCTACGTTACACCCAGAAGGAGAGAGGTGGGAAACCCTGGGCTAACCTCATGGTTTCCCTCTGGTTTAAAACTACCACTTCCCATCCCAGCCCTGAGCCAGATTTCAGTCTCTGGGAAAGTCTTTCAAGGGTCGGGTCTCTTTCCCAACATGTATTGTGGGAGCAA